TCCACACAGTAGCTATGGTTGCCATGGTGAAATTAAAGCCGCGCTGATAATGAAGCGTTTTGCCTGTGCTAGCAAATAAAAAATCATGATATAAGATTATACGGTAAACACGATTATAACTCATTTAAATTATAAATACTCTTTAGTATAAATACTCAAACTGCTATAACTACCAGATGAAGGTAAGGGACCAACATCGTGAGAAAAAACATACTTTTCTGCTAGCTGAACTCTCGCGGTATTTGTGCCTTCAAATAGGATAGAACTAACATCACTGCTGACTGCCCATTATCGATCTTGCTTGTTATGTTGTGATGACTCCCCATTGTTTATTAAGAAATATTCACATTCTCAGAACAGGTGGATGTCTTACTTCTTTTTTACCTGAGAAAACATATCTTACCTACATCCAAACAAATTTGAACTATGATTTCTCATCAAACAGCAGATATGAATAAAAGCAAGTTTTGTGTCTTTAGGAAGAGTTGAGGGCAATCTAATTGCTAGGGTTATCTCCTCCAACTGAAAAATATTTAGTGAGAGTCCCCTTGTTGCCATTTAGTCCAGAGAAAAGTTAACCAACTCTAACCAGCTGCATGGTGATGCAGATTTTAGCACTTTTGCCAAACAGAAAATTCCTGGGTTTGGTTCTAGGCCTGGGGTCTTTCTGCATGGAGTTTGTAGGTTGTTAGGCTAATTGGCATCTCTAAATTGTCCTTAGGTGTAGTTGTTTGTGGCAGGGTGTACCTCACCTTTCCTTCATTGACTGCTGGAGATAGACACCAGTGCCAAACAGACTCTGATGGATAATGGGGGAAAGATGAATTGAAGTTAACCAACCCTATCATTTCACTAGTGAGATGTTTAAGGGCTTCAAACATCTTGTTTTTCCTGTTGTTTGTCATATTTAGATGTGACCAATTCTGGTGGTTTGACTTGTGCAAGGACAATACAATTCTATTGTTGTATTCTAATTCTATTCTATTCTATTCTACAATTCTATTCAAACTAGATGGGAACTCATAGCTTGAGGAGACAATGTAAGCTGCAAGAGAGCCCTTAACTCTTCCTTTTTTTGGAATTGCGCCTCTTGAGATGGCTGCATGTTGGAGTAGCTCTGCAGGCTTTATTCTGGTGTTCTTCTTGTGAGAGCTTTGTTTCCTCAGTTTGTGGATCGGAGTTCCTTTTTTCCATTTTTCCCCCCTTTGATGTTGGATGCTTTATAACTGAAAGGATTTTTGCTGGTATTTCTTTTCCTTTCTGGAGATTTCTGATTCGTAACCATAACAACCATAACATGTTGGTTGGTTAGTTGTTTTTTTATGCTGTTGAGCAGCTGATTAACATCTTTAAAGCTGAAATAATACTTCAACTGTTCTCCATTTTCCAGAACATTTCTTTCTATTTCTTGCTGTCTGATAGCATTGTTTGCATCCACCATTGCATATTTTTCTGCTGAGTCTAAATGGATGCCTCTTCCACCTCTTCTAGGATATCTTGCAATCATTTTAAAGGCACAGAAAAAAAACTTGCAAAATGTTCTTTACTTTTTCACTGCATAACACTATCCCACACTAAATATGTGCTGTATACAGATATTAAAAGGTGATGTCCCAGTGCAAGCCTCTGATAGTGCATAGCAATATAGTGTTTCCCTGATTTCATCTGGAGTCCGTCTATGTGGTCCGCCCCTTCTTCCTCTTCTTCCCCCAGTTTTGTCCCCATCTTCCATGTATCCTCACCCCTCTTCCATGAGGCTGTCTTCCATGTATTTCCGTTTTGTAGATACAGCTGCACCTTATGCCGATCCTGTTTCCTAGTGAATACCTCAGTATATAACCAGGTTTACCTAAGAAAAGTTATTTATGGACATTTTCAAGGAAAAACATTACAGCTATTTTAAGGTGGATGTACAGAACATTTGAAAACATGCTCAACAATGTTGTGTGCAATTATGCAAGCAATCAAATTAATTATTAGTTGTATGAAAAATGACAATTCTGCATTACAAGTATAGTTCATTTTTACAGACACTCTAGAAGCAAGTTGTCAAAAGCGAGTCAAAAGTGATCCTTCTGCAGATATTTTGTATTTACTCAATTGCTTCATTCCAAAAGCATAGGCTATTGAATGAAATTAACATTGAACTGCCACTAGGTTTTGTTCAAATTTATATATATATATATATTTTTTTTTTTAGCAATTCCTCAACGTGACAAAGAAAAACTGTAAGTATTTCATATTTATATAAGGCATAGGCCACAAAATGTTCTCTTCTGGCTTAAGGGTCCCAAGTTAGAATCCCGGTGCTATTGCTGGGATTTAATCAGCATTGGTGAAGTGTTTATGTGTATAGCAACCGTGCTTCTGTCTGTGTGCCCCAGTGCAGCTGTGGCTACAATATATCATCATGGGATTGATTATGTTACAGTGATGATACTCAGCTATATTTGCATAAATCCAGAAACATTAGTGTGTGTTGTTAATCTTTTGAGACTATGCACCAGTTTAATTAAATATAGCCCTGATAAATGTTGAATTTAAACTATTAAGACTAAGGGATATTTTAACTCGATCTAGTGAGGACCAACAGAGACACTTTAAAAATGTTGCATATAACTCTCTTGGAGTTAAATTGACTCTTCCAGGTTTGCTGTCTAGAAGATATAAAAATGTGCCTGAACAGCATTCACATTGCAAGTTCATTGTTTCCTCATCACACTTGCTTCACTCTATAAAAAAACTATTCACAAGGGCATCATTTATTTGTTACACTTCCAAAAGAAAAAAAAAATAAATAAACAAAAAGAACTGAAATGAAAGTTGCTTTGCATGAGTTCATTAATAAGAAACATCACACTTGGAATAAGTTCATTTTCATGTGACACTTCTCTCTCCAACACAAAACAGTTCATATTGCTGAGAAAGTCTTCAATGTTTAGACTGAAACCTAAAATGAATAAAAACAGTGCATGATGGCTAAGATTACATAAGACAACTGGCAGCAACATACCCTTTTGTTGACCCGTATATTTCAGGTTGAGCCTTAAGCTATTAGGGAAAGTGTCAAATCAGAGATAGGTTTCTGCGCCCACAGGGCCCTAGAACAAGATGCACTTTGCTTGCCGGCTGCATGTACACAATCCGCTCTCTTTTCCTGCAGAGATTAATCCCCAAAAATCCCTGTAAATCCATGTCCTCACCCTCCCTTTTCTGTGTTTCTGCATGTGTCCTTTAAAATGACAACATGTGGGAGAAAAATAACACCCCCCCCCCAAAGAAGTATGTGTTGTTGTCAGATCTCTCGCTGCACATCAACACTCTCATTTCTAACCTCCCATGACACCCTGATTCCATCCCCAGATTCCCCTCAGCTCGGTTAACACCCTACATTGTTATGGCCTCAGTGAAACAATGGAGGTGGGACAGAGGGCGGAAGGATGTGGCCGAATGCCTCAGCATAAACCGATGGGAAAAAGAAAAGAAAAATACCGCCTCCAGTCAAACTTTCCAACACTGTTCTTTGAAAAGAACGAGTAGTCTCTCCTGATACAGCTAGAATGTGCTGTGCTTTTCGGGTCATTTTCCGCTGTAGGACACACTAGAGACAGTTTACATTTTAAAGGGTGAGATAGTTCTTGTCAATAGATACATCTGGAGGAAGCAATGTCACACACAGATCTTTCCTATTTATTTTTATTGTAAGCCAAGCTTTTCCATGTCGGTGGGGTCTAATAAAATGAATATGCAGCATAAATCTCTCAGAATTTATAGTTTTTAAACTTTAAAATTTAGACATTTTCCATCAGAAAGATAACCTGTTTAAAAAAGCTATACCACACGCAGTACTGATGCATAATTGTGGCGTTTCAAATACCCACTGGAAAGATTAAATGAAACCTCAATCATTTCAGATTAGCAATATCTGTCAAGTTAAACATCATTATAAAAATCCGCTTCCTTCAGAAAGAAATAAAATATGGAACAATAAGAGAAAAACACAGAGATGTCGGACAAACAGCTGCTCAGGCACACATAACATAAAACTCTGAAAGGAATACTTTTATTTATTTAATTTTTTAGGGCTTTACTCTTGCCTCTGCTTATTAGCCATAAGGGAATTCTAAGCTATATGTCTTAAACAAATGTATTTATACAAGAACAATAAGGACTTGTCTTGAACAAAAGGGTAACATTGTGTTGTGGGCTTTAACGTCTACTGCTAAAGCTTTAATTAGAAGTAGAAAATTGACTAAATATTCTTAACATTAAGTCTATTCACATCTCTTTAGTGTTTATTTCAAATAGCAGATTGATATTTATGGGGGACTGGCACACCTGATTCACAAAATGACCAATGAGGGAGATGGTTGCATCTGAGTAACAACTGTGATTGGTTTAACTCAGGGGTGCTCAAGTCCAGTCCTTTAAGAGTTACCATCCTGTAACTTTTATATGCATCTCTTCTCTCTCTCACTCAACACACCTGAATGGAAAGGCTCAATCCCCTCATTTAGCCCAGCAGAGGCATGGTAAGGAGCCACTCATTTGATGCAGGTGTGTTAAAATGGGATGCATCAAAAAGTTGCAGGAGAAGAGCTCTTGAGGTCTGGACTTGAGCACCCCCTGGTTTAACTGGTTTTTATTGTGCTCAGGAACCAGAATGGCCATGTAAAATGTAAATGGAGAGGACAAAAAAGAAAATTGCAACTGCAAAAAGGATCTGAAAAGGCAAGGTGAAAAAAGAAAATCAAACAGGGAAATTCTTTTTTTTTAATGTGTGATATGGAAAGAATTTATACCAGATGTATGAACTTTTAAATGAATTTTTAAAAATGGGATTTGAAAATACATTTCTAAATTTAAATTTAAATTGCAAAAATTTACAATTTCTTTTTAATCATTCAATGTAAAAATTGAATTCAGAGTTTTTTTCTTTTTCAGTGACTTTGTCGTCCACCAGGCTTTTATTTTGTAAGCCGGCCCAGTGTATATCCGGTCGCGCTGTGAATTCACGCGCTGCTCGCCGCTCAGCAGTCATTAAACGGAGCAGGGCAGACATTGTTGTGGCAACAGCCCAGCTCTGGAGGCTCAAGCGCCTGTAGTGAGCAGATAACGGGTGAGAACGGACTGCCTTTTACCTCCTTTATTTTATTTTTTTCTATTTTACGTCATTTAAATGCACATCCTCAGGTAGAAAAGGCGGCGGCGCCATAAACAGGGCAACGGATATCTGTCCTCATTCAACCGAAGCGCAGCGGAGAACACGCAGCCTGCCGACACGATGCCACGGACGTGAAAACCCCACGACATCTGCTAAGGTTTTTGTTTTTTTTTGCATCCGCCGGGATAAACCTCAGTTATTCTCTTTGTGTGCTCTGAGGTTAACACTTCCAGAGGAACCGCTATCTTCTTGGACGACAAGGACTGTTGTTCTCCCAGGGGCCTTTGGAAAACACGTCCTGCTGCTGTGGAGATGATGGACTGACATTAATAGGTGCTTGCGGTGCATCCTCTTACCCGGCCTCATTAAGGGCGTATTTTAACCCAACTGATGTCACTTTGCCTTGAAGGTGGCAATCTATATAAAGACATCACATGTCTGCCTCTGTTTCCTCCTCCAGTGATTGCATGGTGACATCTGGCTCAGAGTGGCTGCAGAGGAAGATGATGAGGATGAGGATGTGATAACTGTCATTTGAGCATCAGATAAAGCAGCATTTTAGCAGTTTCTCAGGGAGTCTTTGGGTTTTCTTGTACAAAATGGGCAGTGAGGGTGAGATCATAAGTAGAGAGCTGTCAAAGGTATCTGATGAGGATTTGCTGGCCTGCTCCAAAGAGGAGCTGGTGAGCCGGTTGCGTAAGGAGGAGTCAGAGAAGATCTCCGCTCTGATCCAGCGAGGCAGGCTCATCAAGGAGGTCAACAAGCAGCTGCAGGGGCACCTCCTGGAAATCAGGGAACTAAAAGTCATCAACCAGCGCCTGCAGGAGGAGAACACCGAGTTGCGGGACCTGTGCTGCTTCCTGGACGACGACAGGCTCAAGGTGAAGAAGCTGGCCCGGGAGTGGCAGCTTTTTGGTCACCATGCTGCCAAGGTGATGCGGGAGGACCTGGGTGGCTACCTGAAGAAGCTGGCTGACCTGGAGCGCATGCAGGACGGGCTGGTGAAGGAGAACCTGGATCTGAAGGAGCTGTGCCTGGTGCTGGAGGAGGAGTGTGTGAGCAGGAGTGACTCCAGCCCCGGCGGGTCCACGGAGCTCAATCTGCCATGCATGGTGGCCCGGGACTTGGGGGACGGGAGCTCCAGCACAGGCAGCGTGGGAAGTCCAGACCAGCTCCACCTGGTGTGCTCACCAGATGACTGACAGTCATTGGAAGGACTTCTCTGCCTTGGACTTATTATAATGTATGGATAGACGAAACAGGAGAGATTAAAGGGATAGTTCAGGATTTTTTTTTTTTTTTATTGGGTCTATGTCAAAAGGTCAATAGATGTTATTATCTTACCAACAGTAAATAACTGAGTGGTGCATTATATTTTTCAAGATTCAAATCTGTAAATATCTTTGGCATTTCTATACCATTTTGTACATTTTTGTGCAACACATTAATGTAGATGGTTTATATTATCTCTGTTCATGAGGTTGTTAAAATGCCAAAGTTGGCTTCTGACTAACACTGTGGTAAAGGGCTATTTCACAGCTTTTATTGGCATGCTGAAAAAGAAGTAGATGAACTTTTATTTAAACGCTACACATTTAAGACTTTTTAAAAACTGGATTTGGTTATCTAACAATGAACACAGATCATTTAATTTAACGTCCTCATTTACATTGTCAGTAAAATAGAGAAGAATTTTTATCACATTTTTATCTTTTAAATAGGGGAATTAGGACAAGACCAAAGAGGGCCTTAAAAATATAATAGCCTTAGATAGCATTTTATTGGAACACTATTCATAAACTTGCAAAACACTGTCAGTTATTACAAAAAAAAACAATTATTCCCACAAGGAAAATTGGTTGGAGGTGGTGCAACACCAATGATCTTCCTGTGTGAAACAGTTATTTAGAATGGAAAAAGTAAATGTAGTTTATATATATTTAGATTTGAAGATTAAACTTTCTTTAAAATCCTTTCAAGATTAGATATGGAGGGTAAAGTGTAGAGAAACATTTCAGACCCCAAAGAATTTGGGTTTTACTGTTAAAGATATAGTGGAGGATGTTCTTTTTCTGGGTGGGTCATCAAAATAAGTGGTCCTCTTAATTGTCAATCTACAGGCTTGACCCCATTTTCACTTACCGGTGGTCAGTCTGACAGAGTGGAAATCTCTTGGAATGTAAGCTTATATGAGCGATGCAACTTTTAAGCAGAGCTTGCACAAGGAGAAATGGGCTTGTCCTTGCTCTCGCACCCGTTTAATAGGCGTTCCCTCTCTGGAGCGGGTACGGAGTTGTGCATGTTGAGAAGGCGGGTCTTTTTAAAAATTTGCAAAGATTCTCAATTATACCTTTTGAGTAAAAAATATGACCCAGAACAGAAAATTAGTCAGTTCTATTTTTTTATTATGAAATGTTAAACTAGAGCTATTCTATTCTATTATCTATTCATTGCAATAGAAAATAAACACTGAAATAGCTTCTTTTTCCAGGACCTCTCGTTTGTTACTGTCCCCCCCCCCCCCCAAACACCAGACCTAATTTTAACGTTGATTTTTAGGCTAACTCTGGTCAGTTTGTCATATTCTTCATTTAGTCCAGAAATAGATGCTCAAAATTGGGCTGTGTTCGGTCAGTCAGTTTTTTTCCTACATTAGTCCAATAATAGATGTTGAAAAGTCTTTTTAACGTCTGAAAGCTACAGCCTTTCACTTTTCAACCAGATGTAGACGTTGTCTGGATGTAAATTATTTTGTCTTTGAAACTAATATTTGCTCGGTGGGGTAGAACATCAAATTAAAACACATTAATTCAGTTTTCATCCTTTTTAATCTTACAGTTACCTTCTGAATATTCTGAATATCCAATAATATGAGATCACTTAATTGTTTATTACTGTAACGCAGTCAAACGAATTCTGTGTGTTCTAAGGGCCGGAATATACAGTGCAACTTTTCTCATCCAAATATTTTTAGCACTTTCATAATGAACACCTTATTTTGTCAGCATTTACTCACGTCTCATCTTTTTGTAAATGTTTAGCATGTCATTGCAGTAACCTAAAAATAGGCTCCCGCCTTTAGATAAATCAAACCTTTATTTCCCGGATAAAAAGGTTTTTCTATTTCATTTATTGAAAGGGAAAAATACACACAAAAATAAGTATAAATGAATCCTTGCATCTGCAGACTTAAAAATAGCAGCATGCTTTTTGTAAACACTTCCAGAGTGGCTTCCTGCTACTGACATTCAAGTGTATTTAACAATTTAAATGAAAGGTTTATTACTTAATTTTTCCTCGGCATAGCTTGTTTTCTCATTAGGAATGCTTTGTGTTTCAGTATTTGTTTCAAACCGGAAGATCACTGCTCATGCACTGCCTCCATATTCATTTCAAGGGTAAAAAAAACAGCTGGGTTCAACGCATTGAAGGAATATTAAAAAAAACAAACTATTTATAGCTATAAGTAGTAGCATAATAAAAAAATGAAAGAGGTATATAATAGAATGGGGTTATTTAGAAAAATGTGAAAAGCATAAAATTTGACCTACACATAAAAACAGCTACAGACTATTTGCTAGACTGCACAAAAATGCAGATATGTAAACACTTACTGAGTTTTTTTTGGAAGCACATATAGTTATAAAATATAAAGGCCACAATTACTGTCTAATTAGAAAGGAAGGACGGCTTAAAGGTTCATAAAGTGGCGTTTGCATATTAGACAGATGAGTTGTTGGTAGAAGTCCTGTTTGGTCTTGGCTTCTCCAGCATCTGGATCAACTAATCTGTATTTGTACTAAATCAAGACCCAGATATTTTTTTTCTTCTTTTATTACAGGTAAGAAATTAAATGTTTACAATCTTTTAACTGAGCCTAACTTAAAAAAAAGGAAATCCCTGGAGTGTCCCTTTAAAGCTCTCTGAATGCTGCAGTTTCTGTGCCACAATAGGATTTGAGAAACTTTATCATGCTACACATTTCAGGACCTTACAGAGACATTGATGACAAACTATAGAAGTTTTACAGCATATTTTCTATCAAATCTTAAGAGATTTCTCCTTTTTCAGTGATCTGTTATTGAAAAAGACAAATGGGACCAATAAGTGGGTCACATCTATAAATTTATCTCATGCACTGGACTAGCCTACACTGGTAGAAGCCTTCTTTTGTAATGCACTGGAGAACTTCATCTTAGATCATTAAATCATGGATCTAAAGATTGATTTTAATCCAGTTATGAGCCATATTTAGTCCACTGATTTGATATCGGCCTTTGCTAGATAGATACCCAGTTGTGTAAATGTTAATGTGCCCTCTCTTCCTCAGGGCAGGATTGGAGTGCCATATGTGCATGATGGTTGTTCTTGTTTATACTACAGGTTGTAATGCTGTTAGGAAAATGAGCTGAAGCCTGCATTGAGCTGGCACACTTATCAAAGCTTTGGCTCATGGTAGATATTTAGAGGAACTTCACTGAGAGCAGAATTAAGAATTTTTTTATTTTTTTTTTTAAATCCTGCTGGAATCTCTTTGTATCAAAACTGGAAGGTCTACAAACTTTAAGGGTTTTCATTCTAAGCTGATAAAGTTTTGCTTCTTTCATCCTATTTTACGATGTAGTTGATGTTGAATTAGCACATCACAGAATTAATTGGTTCCTTTATTTGCATTTAATCTGTACCACTAGGATTAATCTTAACTTAGACTCTTCTTTATCTGGGTTTATCTGTGTTGATTATAGAATTACTAACTGTTTTCGGTTAAATGCACATGGATTTGCAGTTTATTTTGTTGTCAGCTGTTTATTGGTGGACTGATGAGCTTTAAATACAGTCGATATGACGACCTATGCTGCTCTGACCTTTTCTTTTGAGTTTGTTTTTTTTGGAGAAAACTGTTTACATGTGCGTGACAAAGAACAAGTGATTGATTTCTGCACCTCCGGAGCTTTGGCGTCAGTTGATTGATGCTCCCTGCTTGTCATGCAGGAGCACTTCACAGATGTTCATCAGTTTTATTTTTAGATCCCAGGCTGGATGGCTAGAGAGGGCTTTTAATACTTGTATCCACTTAGCCATCCACAAACGTCACTGGATGGTGATATAAACACAGATTTTTTTTTTCTTTTTCACTTCTACTTAGAAGCGCCCATCCTGACTCTGCCTCTTTAATCTCATTTTGTGGATCCTCTCAGAGCTTTTGATGAATTAGCAAGACATTGGCTACGGTTTTGAGAAATGACAGTAACAGCACCCACATTGGTTCTCGGGGTCAGGGAGCGGGCAACAGAGCTTGTCAGTAAAAGCCTGCAGTGATCAAACCCATTTACAGCTGTCACTGCTGATCCCTGTCCTTATTGATTACTCTCATAGGCATTTTATCAATTAGCTAAGTGTCTGTCAAGAATATGTTACCATTCCCACTATCAGTCCAAGTTATGGGATTCATTAAAAAGCAAATCATATTTAAAAAGCTGCACTTAGAGTAATTCTTATTGTTTTAATAGCATATAAATAGTTGCAGCTGATTAAGATGACCATTTTGTGGATTTACCTGGCCCATTCCTGTAAATGTATTTTTTTTTATGCACATGGATAATATCAGGAAATATCCCTTTAAATAGTCTAATTCCCACTTGATTGAAAATTGAAGTGAGTGATTTAGAAATGCTCCATGTCGGTGGATACCAACAGATGACACTATAGCAACAGTATTATGAGCGGCATCATTATTCATTTATAAAACAAAATTTTTTATATGGGCTATGGTTTTGTTAAGTAATGGAGTGCGTTACAGAGACATGTTTATTGATGTGTTATTTAAAGGATTTAAAGATAGGCGTTATTGGTATAGATCCATACAAAGCAGACAAATGCAAAGTGCAAGGTAAGTATGCAGGGTTGCTTTTCTCCAAATGTAACTGACAACTGCTTATTTTAGTGAAATATGCATATATGGTCTTTAAGTTCAAATGAAGGTGACTTTAACATTATTTAAACATTTTTACAAAGTACAGCAGGTAAAATAAGTATTCAACCATCTTTCTCAGTTAATGTATTTCTAGATGTGCTGTTGACATTTTCACCAGATGTCAGTAACAATTGATGCAATCCACACATACAAAGAAATTAAACCATAGATACCCAGAATTGTTCCATCAATCCTTCCTTTAATTTTTGAAGTATGCCACTACCAAACGCAGAAAGACCGCCCCATGCCATGATGCTCCCACCGCAAAACTTCACTGTTGGTGTTTTTGGGGTGATGTGCAGCACCATTTGTCTTCTAAACATGATGTGTATTATGACATACGAGAGTTCAGTTTTGGTCTCATCTGACCAGACTGTATTCTCTCAGTTTCTCCCAAGCTTGTCTAAATGTTGTGCAGCAAACTTTTAATGAGCTTCAACATGCTTTTTCTTCAGCAATGGAGTCTTGCGTGTCAGCGTGCACACAGGCCATGGCGGTTGAGTGTATTACTTTTTTTCCAGCTTTTTTTTTCATTGCTCTGTCACAAGTACAGAGCAATGAAATTGACTATCTGCATTTAACCCATCCCCTTGGGGAGCAGTGGGCTGTCATTGTGCGGTGCCCAGGAAGCAGAACCTCTGAATCTCAAGCACAATACCCTAACCATTAGGCTGCCACTCACCTGCTTGTTGTGTTCTTTGAAACAATTGTACCTGCTAATTCCAGGTCTTTGTGAAGCTCTCCACAAGTCTTCTTTGGCTCTTGAACAGTTTGTCTGGTCATTCTTTGCACTCCTCTGTCAGAAATCTTGTGAGGAGCATCTGGTTTTGGTCGGTTTATGATTAAATTGTGTTCTTTCCACTCCTGATTATGGCCCCAACAGTGCTCAGTGGAACATTCAGAGGTTTAGAAATCCTTCTGGAACCAATATCATCAATAAGGTTGCGAAGGCCTTTAGAAAACTCTTCACTTTTACCCATCATGAGATGTATGATACCAGAGACACCTTTTTACAGGCCATCATTTTGGGACTAAACCAGCGGATAGCTTTCTAATTACTGAGAGATTTTGGTTGATGTCTTGGCTTTCCATGCCTTTTTGCACGTCTCTGTCTTCACATGCTCAATACTTTTTCCCTGTGCAATTCCACATTATTACACATGACTAAACTTCTGGTCATCAATGGTTTGAATTCTTTGTATGTGTGGATTGCATGTATTATTACTGACATCAGGTGAAAATGTCATGTATATAGCACCTCTAGAAATATATTTACTGAGAAAACTTGTGGCATTTTCAATACTTATTTTAGCCTTTCTATTAACAGAAATGCATAGATTTAGATGTAATTATGAGATGTTTCTCTTCTACTTTCCATTTACATTTTCAGGCAACATAAAAATTTTTGTTATGATTAAAAGCTTTACCCATGAAGTGATTAGGGCCAATGTGTGTCGTATTAGATGGGTTGTGTTTATTAGCCAGCCTCATTGAAGTTTAGTCGCTAAGCTTACTTTCATTCAACTCTTTTGATTTTCAGTATTAATAAAAACATCTATTTACTGTTTAAAGAGCTTTGTTCTACTGCCTTTATCTCAATAACACACCGTAATTATGGTTCTTCTATGTGGATTGAAGCTACGACCAGGCCCTGTTCCCACATGTCACCTGACGCTGCTTCCTGAATCCTCAAAACCTAATGATGAATAGAAAAATACTTAAAATAATTTTCTTAGTACTTGAACCTTTTCATAATTTGTCCTGTTACACAGACCTTGCAGTATCCTATCTGGATGTGGTTAACCAATATGAAGTAGACCATCTCTGTAACATGATCCAAAGGGTTTACAAACTTTTTTTCTCTCACAAAAATCTGAAAAGTGTGGCGTGTATTTTGAAATGTAACATTTCCCATTCAAGCATTGTTTCCCGTTCTTTAGGTCTTCCCAAATTCTTAATTCAGGGGACCTATATATAATTTAAAATCAAAATTCTGACTTTTCAAAGTTCTTAAATATGTCAATTTATTGAATATATCCTCACCTGAAGAATGCTTTTAAAGTTTTCAGAATTTTGCTCAATTTTCAAAAAAACTTGAAATCTTGCAACAATGCTCAGCTGCGGTTGATTTTTCTTTTTTATTATTAGCGTGGCTATTCTGTTGCCTCTTATGGCATCTGGAGCAAATTGGATCTGCTTTTCTAAAATACATATAACTTAGTCAGGTACTTATAAAACCAATTAAAATATTTTCATCCTCAAATTCAATATTATATGCCAAACATTCATCCTGATGGTGTTAACTTCCTCTTTGAGCCAGAAAATAATTTTTGCACTGGTGTATCAACAGATAACATTGTTTTGCGCCATCTGCTGACAGGTTGCTGTCACATCCACTGACTTAACAGCTCACTTTAAACTGCTGCAGCTTTTACTCCAACAAACAAATACATCCATAACGCTACTGGTGTCTATTGGCATTCAACTGTTGTCAACTTGATCTTGAACATTTCCTCTTTTCACACCTCGGTTTAGAGTTGTTGACTTTATTTTTTTATATTTTTAGAGCTTTATTGATAGTTGTGAAATTACATATAACTTAGAAAACACAACTTGAAACTAGATTATATAATTTACAGAACAGATGTAGAAAACAAATACAAAATAAATAAAAGATGTAGATTAAAATGGTTAAGTAATGGATTATTTTGGTTGATTTATTGTTTTTTCTTTAGTTTTTCAGTGTTGCTCCAATATGTCTTAAGGTCTGTTATTTCAATAGCAATAATTTCCTGAAGATAATACTTTGCTAATATAATGATTACATTATTGTATTTTTTTCATAACTTGTTAACTTTAGATTAGTGACTATATGAGGTTTTTCGAGCTTACTCAGAAATCAGATATCTTTTTGGGCGCCAAAGCTCTGTAAGCGAAACCAGAGAGAAACGACATAGAAACAATGACAAATATGTGCTCAATGGTTTCACCTTTACATCCACAAAATGTACAGTTGTCATGTACAGTAGGGAAAAATATACAGATATTAGCTTTTGGAGGGTTATAGAACGTTGCTGTAGCGTCCTTGTTTACTCATTGTGTGCATGCAGAGTATCTGCCCTTGGGTCATGTCTTGTTATTGTTACTTAGCCTACTTAGCTAAGTAAGAAATAGAAAACACAAAGAAGGAAAAGCAGATATAAAATCTAATATGATAAGCCACCAGGGTGCAATAATGTAATCATAAATCCCTCGTTTGGAACCTGAGTGATTTCTGGGATAGAAATCCGTAATGTTAAATAATGGGACTAGGCTGCTTTAAGGTTGGGCTGCGCGTTATATTGTGATGCATTATTCACAACGCAAAGGACTGGAGTTCTATTTTTTGCTGATATATTCCAAGTGTTAAGATCTTGCATTTTACATGCTAATGTATAATTAATCCAGAAGCTTACAGGAGAAGATGCTTCAACCGGCACTGACGATCCCAGAGCGTAAGAAGCAAAGATGAGAAAGAGTGGAGAAGAATATTTCATTGTAATATTTAACATCATATATACCACACAAAGATTACCATGCTTTTCTTTCTTCAAACATGTTTTGTGATCTTTATTTCTAAAGCTAAAAAAAAACATCAAGACCTCATGCTTTCTTTGATGGCATAAAAACCAAACAAGATACATTTGGTCTCATTAAATGAAAGATAATGTTTGATAGATAGATGGCTGGTGGAAAATTTCAAACTGTACCTCTTAATGGCTTTCTTCTTAACACTGCTTTAAAAGTCAGACAGTGGAGATCAATACTAGTATGTTTACAGTCATTGCAGAATTGAACAGATGTTTAAAGTTTGATTTGTTTAAAATCTCTCTACAACTTTACGTCTGACATCTTCAAAGAACAGCTGGATTCATACTAAAATGAGATTAAACAAAGACTGACTATATTCCCTGATTCAGGTTGGTTCTGGATTTTATTTAGGGAAAGGAATACATACACAGACCCCAATTAAAAATTTGTTAAAATGCATTAATGTTTAATTCTTTATATTAAAAACTTGGTATACATTTTATGATCATCAGTTTACTTGCAAAGCATAGTATTTTTAAACTGTCAGTACCTCAAAGTAAAAAAAGTAAAATCTAACATACCACTGGATACAATCATGATTACTGCTCAGGAGCTCAGTTACACCTGCTTAATGTAATCGGGGTGGAAAAATTGCCCATTTTTTTAGAATATTATTTATTTATATTGAGCAAAGATTATGTCTGGAAATTTGCACAATATAAAAAAATATGCATATCGTTATAGTATTAAAAAACACAAATTGTGGTGATAGAATGTTACTTCCATATCACCCGTGTCACAATATACTCCAGACTAATTGATATTTGTGTTGCAGTATCGTCCAGCTCTGTTTTGAAGTAAACAAATGCTTACACATTTATCATGCAGACTTTATTTCTTTAATCTCTGTGAATTCGTACAAGTCTGAAAATAGAAATGACAGTAAGGCACTGTCCACAAACATAGAAAGTCCAAACATTACCAAAAATATATTACACTCTCAAAATCTAATAAATAGATGATTAGATAATTCATATAAACTCCTACGGTCCAGCCTTAGTTGTCAATGAACTGTATAAATATCTGTAGTCTAAAAGGATACGTACAAACAATAAGGCTGGTGTTTATTAGCACATCTGCTGTTAAAGAGTTCCACAAAGATAAAAAGACAAAAAATAAAGTTATTATTCTTGCATTATTTGAGTTCTCATGTTATTCTTGTAGAGAACCTACGTTTTTCTTTAGAGTATATATTTTTTTATATAGTGCATGCAGTTTGTTCCCCACTAAGACATTCATTTCATCTCGTAGCTTAAAATAAGTAAAAATATATCGACTTTATGTAAGAAAACTAAGAGTGTAACAATCATATTCTGATAATGCCACAGATTTCCATGTCATCTGAGAGTCCACTGAGTCCAAACAAGTAAACATCTTGAAATGCCTGTAACATTCATCATCCTTATTTCTATCATATTTCACAGAGACCATGTGTTTCTCTAACTCCCTTTAGTGCTTTTTTCTAACCAACTGTAGTGTTTTGCCAGGCGATCACAGGGTGAGAATGGTTGGAGAGTGCAGGGAGTGATCCGACTGGTCACCGCTGCTGCTACTGCGTCGATGAGCAACCCCACAGGGCTGCTGGGCCTGATGGTGCTGGGCCTGATGTGACGCCGCGGAGGTGCTGGCTTCCAAAGAGGTAGATGGATATGTGAAAACCATGCCGGCTGAGAAGGACATGAGGGATGGCGTGGATATGAGGACTGGGGTGTGGAGCGATTCTGATTCTGCGGTAACGACCGAGGCAACAGATATTACTGGTTTGGCTGGGATCATTATCTTTGGTTTAGGCTTCTCCATCTTGACTGATTTGTTTGTTGAGGGTCCGGGTATGCTGGATTCCTCCGGCTCCAGTTTGATGGCTCCCAAAGAGGAAAGCGAAGGAGTGGAATCAGAATCTGAATCAGAGTCCTCTATTTTACAAATGGGACGGTGGGCCTCCAGGACCAGCTCAAGCTTCTCTTTCTCCTTCTGTAGTTCAGCTATTTCCTTCTGCAGACGTGACTTCTCATCCTCCAGCTGATCAGTTTCCTGCACCGAGAGGAAGTTAAATTAGGCTCTTTCATGTCTGCCTCTGGCATTTTTATCTGTTATGAATTAAAGGTGTGCCACCTGTAAAATCGTCACTCACATTTTGTAAAGTGTCAGTCAGCTCTCTGCGACGATTGCGACATTTTGCTGCTGCCAGTTTGTTCCTTTCCCGCCTTATCCTGCGTCTTTCCAGCTCTTCACGTGACAACTGAAATCAGAAAAAAAAACGTTAACAATTACACGTTGAAGCAGATTTATTATACAGCCCTGTAATGACTGTATTGTTCTGCAGTCATAAAAGGGGGTTTACGCAGCACTCTTTATACAGTGCTGCAAAGAAATTCTTACAGGTTTCTTCTGTGTTTCCTTTTTTGTCTTCACTATTAAATGTTCTTCACTTAATAGGGGAAGTACGCTATCCCAACCACCCTGGCTTTACTTTAAAAAGGAAAAGCCAACCTGGCCCGGACCATCACACTTCCTCTATCGTGTTTGACTGTGTGTACAATTGTTCATTTTGCTTTTATAAAACAATCCTTTCAGTTACTCTCCAGTTGTTACCGGATGCAAACTTGTGTCTCATCAGTCAGATAAATATTCTGTGGAGAAATGTAAGTAAGAGTAATGATGTGTTTATTGGTCAGTATTGATTTTTAAATTGGATGTCAATGGTGGCAGTTTTGGCTGGCCCCTTTTTTTTGTATAATCTTCAAATTTATTTAAAGTGATGCCCTAAATTTAAAAATAGATTGTTTTGATTGGCCCAGCTTCTCGAGGGAATGTTTATCAATGCTGCAGGTTTTCTCCATTTATGTATGAGGGCTCTCACTGTGCTGGAGTCCTAAAGCCTTAAAAGGAAACACAAACTCTGCTTTCTAGAGAAAGGAGGTAAAAGCCAAGAGAGGCAAATGTTTTTTGTTTATTTGTTTTTTTCTACATATAAACTGGGTTTGTTTGATTATTTTTCCTCCTTAATGAATTTAAAAATAGTATTTTAGATTTACTCAAGTTACCTTTCCTTATATTATCCTATGTTTGATCATCCTGGGCATTTAAATCTAATGATGAGGAAATTTTGTTAAGGGGTGCAAATACTTTTTGTGAAATAAAAGAGTCAAAGTGAATTCAGTTTTCTTGCTTATACTTGCAGAGGGCCCAGTACTGAAACACATTGCAGGAGAATTACCACCACCATGTGTGGACACTGAGTCATGACAATCATGGCGGCCGAAAAAACGAGTATCATCCTATCTTTTGTGTACTTGAAACATGACAAGGCTGGCTTTATCCGACACCCTACTGAATAATTACAGTTGCACCCTAAATTTCCTGCCCTTTTGGGTCCATGACTCACCCTCAGACCCCAGGGGTGAGTCAGTTGTTGAGTCACAGAAAATGACTTGGCCCTGTGAGTCACATGACTGCTAACTTCCTGTGCCGTAAAATTGCAGCTTTGTGACAAGGATGTGTGCCAATCAAGCTGTGCCCGCCGAAATCAAGATTTAGAAATTAAGATTAAAAAAGTGCCTCAGTGGTGGTGGCTGGAAAAAGAGGAATTCACTTTTGGCATGTGTTCTGCTTTGATATTTGACAACTTTTTAACTTTTTACCACATGTAAACAAAAACAACAACAACAAAAAGGAAAGATAAAAAAAACTGATTAAAAGCTTAAGAGTTGGATGATAAAGCTGGATTATCTCTGCCTACCTATTTGTGACACAATATAACAGGACATTACATACTAGTTCCATAGAAATGACATTACATACTAGTTACACAGAAATGATTAGGTCACTTTTCACACCACTGACCTCCCTAGTTCCCATACATCTTTATACCTAAACTTTCCAACTAATTTACCTGTTTCCTAAAGATACTATCTGTGACAGTGTCAAACCTACCTGCTCATCGTTCCTGCGTCTTGTGGAGGGTGGAGTATTCGCAGCTGCCCTTATGACCCCAGGTCTGATAAGATGGGAATTGGAGGGTGGCAGACCCATCGGCCGTGTCCCGATGGATGGGTAAAGGGGTACAGGTGAGTGCGAAGGTCCTGGATGTGTGAGCGAGGGTTGGACCAGCCACTGGAGGTCCTGGTTTGTGGTGATGGCATTCAAGCTTGGGACAAATTGGCTGCTGCCTGCCATAGTAAATTTCTGAAATAATAAATTAAGAAAAAAAAAAACATTTTATATACGACATTCGTTTATAAAAAGACATTTATAAATGTCTTTATACATTTATTTATAATAATTCATAATTTTTAATAAAAAAATTAAATTGTGAAACAGCCATCTATTTGGTAAAACAAGTAAAAAATGTTACATGTTTACTAACATTTTGAACACAAAACTCAGTTTTATTCATTCATTCTATGAGCCTCTAGCCTGGCTGGATGAGCGCACACCTACCTGCTCCTGCTGAGTGCTGGAAGTGTTTCCCACAGATGAAGAGTTGGCCCCAGACAGGTTGCCACTGTACGCCGGGTGGCCTCTCCCTTGGCTCCCAAAGTTTCTATACATCCTCTCGGCTTTCTGAGAAAAGACAACCGAATCCAAAAGCGGCTCTTTATATTAACTTTAAGCTTTCGGGATGAGTCTTTTGGGGTTAATTCAAATTCTGGGGGCAAGCCCACCGGTAGAGTCCAAAGAAGTCCAATCCGAAGGGGAGAAAGGAAGAAAAAAAAAAGTTGGATTTTTGTTTGTTTTAAACTAAAACATCCAAAAGCGATCCTCGCGGCACCTCCTGGTTCTTAGTCATCCATGTGCAATCGGAAGTCTGTGAATAATTGTCAGGTTGTAAACTCTTAAAGCGAGACCATTGGTTTGCCACGACCCTTCGCACTTACGGGAAATGGTGTTGTCTGGAATCTCTCACGAATGAAACCACGTGGGGTGACGTCAGTGCCCATTTATGGTGAGTTTCCTCCCTAAAGTTACAAACAGGGATTCCTCTTCTTACGCTCACCTCATGGTCAAAACTAGCTGTTTTGTTTCTCGCGTTATCAAAAGTACAAGTGGAAATATTATAGTTTCCGGCTTCAGATAAACTGCTTGAACCAGCTATGACAGGAAATCACCATTCCTTAACGGCTAAACAAACTGTTCTGCTCTTAGAGGTTAAAAGGTTAAATTTATTTCTGGGCGTTATGCTTTAAAAATAAAATATTTGATTTTTTTTTTTTTTGATTTTTTTTTTTTTTTACAAAATCTCATTAATTAAATTGAAAATGACCGTTTTAAAATCTTTCACTAAAACCATCCATTCAGAAAGCTGACCTGAATTAAAACTTTAAACTAAATCCAAGCTGTGAAAGTGATTGTAAAACAAGCTGCAAACAATTGAGATATATGACACAGAAGTGTGCAGCTACTAGTATAATTAAATTAGCTAGTTTCTTAGTTTTGATTGTAGATCTAAGAACAAATAAGTGAGGAGTTGGTTGACATGAGTAGAACCACAGAATTACAAGGAATGCATAGGTGAAAGAAACCCCCCACATTTTTCACAAAATTAAATGTTTCTTATAATTGCTTATATAAGAATGCTTCTATTTGTATTTTTATTATTTAACATTTCTGTAAGCTCCAGGTCTTTCAGTCAGCAGCCTCTTGCCACCACCCCTATCCTTTTGCACTTTTCTTTATCCATTTTTGCTGTTTTTTAATTGCTATAATTGTTATTTCTGATCATTTACATTTGCAAACGTACATCTAATTTTGTATATGTATTAAGTTGTTAATTATTATGAAGCATTTAAAGGTTTATATGAATATATGTTGGCTATCTGATGCTCCGGAGTGCTCTAAACAGTTAATGTTAATCTCATAAACAGCAGTTAGTTTTATCTGCACATGATTATCAGCTACATGTAGTTAATTTTTCTGCAAAGACTAAAGAATATACAAAAAACCAGATGTATTATTTTAACTTATAATCAATGATCCGCAAAGGAGACTGAAATCTGATAAAGAGCAAAGCACGTGCCTGGTAAACTTGAACTTTTTTGGCAGCTCTACTTTCACTACATAAAACCACATCAATGAGGATGCATGCCTGTGGAAATGAGTCATTCAAATGACACAAAGCTACTCTCTTACTAAACCGCTGATTTTGACACATTTCCTTTTTTTTCTAATACATGCCTGCATGTTTTTTAGTACCTAGTAAAGATTAAAATTTTGTGAACTGCTGATTTGTTAAGCTTAGTCTGTCACAACAGCTGCTGACCTTGCAGTCCCCAAGGATAGATTTCCCGGCATTGGCTGATTTGTCCTGTGGCTAACTGACACATACACACACGTCTCTTGTTTCTGTTAACCCTTTTCTGCGAAATCCAATTAGTAATCTTTGCTGATGATTTTTTTTCCTATGGAATACAATTTATTTTAACAGTCAAACATTTCTTTTTCTTTATGAGTATTCAGGTTGTATTATTACAAAAAAAAAACAAAACAGGGTTAAGGTGAGTCTAAGGTGACTCAGCCCTTAGGAATTTTACTGATGAGCCATGTTCAATGGTAACATGTCGCTACATGTCTTCCTCTTATTACACTATTCCTCCAGCTATCTCTTTAAATGTAAATTTCATAAGGAAAACCCAGATCTGACTACTCAGATTACATGTTTAGATTTTTTTTAAGGTGAAACTAGTAGTTTTCTACTTTTTTATTTTGAATGTACAGTTTCCCCCCCCAAACGTTGACATGATCTGGGGTGGGCAGTGAAGGAATTTTGGATTCCATTGGATTTTACTCATCTTAGGCATTTCTGCATGTTTTCACATAACTCACCCACACCCTCCCACACATTTATCCAACTCACACACATTCTTCTCAAAGCCACTACCTTGCCATTGATGTAACTCATTAAACATGATAGGTGCTTACAGTCACGCCTTGCTAATTTATTTCTACACGCCACAAAAGAAAGATTATCTGTAATTCTACGGTGGAAGTTTCCCGACTGTGCAAGTAAAGGTGAAGCTATCTCTGCTTTCTATCTTTAGTGTTTATAATGTCAAAACTATACTTCCTGAGATAAAGTAAAAGAAAAAAAAAATCCGTAAAAATTGACATGCATTTGGCTTTTAAGTGGTCAAAAACATTCACCTCATACATAAGCCTGTCACTTTGTATTACTACATCAGTTATGTTGAAAGGTTAAAAACAGGTGGAGTAAACATTTGCAGTTAAGTTTCACAAGTTGTCCCAAATTGAGATTTCTATAAAACTGAAACTTAATGCTGTAACCTAAAGTAAAAGTGAAATAATCCCACTCATAAGAAAACAGTGTAGCATCTGTTTGAAAATTCATTTTTCATCCTTTGTTAAAAATATGACTCTTCTGAGCTCAACAGAAACCTCCAGTTGCTCTTGTTAACAAGGGGAAAAACATGTGGTATAGTGTTTTAAATGATGTAATGACTGAACAATTTGACCACAAGAGGAAATGTATAATTTGAAAATTTAAAACCTGAAGTTTAGTGTCTTAAGGCATTTTCCTAACAAAAGTAAATGCAGTCTAATCATACAGATATATTCAGAATCTACGGCAAAATAGGTCAGAGATAATAAATATTGCAATGAAAATATTGTTTAATATTCCAACTGGTAAAATGTTTATTATCCGGAGACACTGACATGAAGCACGTCATCTTCATGGATGAGGCGGCAGTGACTGTGGAGAGTGAGTTTCACAACTTGTTTTCATTTTGCAGCAATTCCTTCTATGTATGTAGTGACATTGGGAAAGGGAAGCTGCCATATACAAGAAGAAACCTCAAGCAGAACTAGGCTAAATGTGAAAGGCCTCCAATTGTAATCAGAACACTGAGAAGTTTCAGAGTAATGTGAAAACACACAACAAATAAATAATGAAGCATTGCTCCAGTAGTACTTTCCATGGTCAAAAGAATACAGTTAATAGCAGTGAGAGAGGCTTTTTAGGTTTCATCATAGCTGAGTTAGTCATAGTAAAAGCTTAGCCTAAAGTTATGTATGTCTAGGAGAGACAGGTTTAAGCACTAAATGGCAGGGAAGCATGTATAATCCATAGGAGAACATGTTGTTGGCAGCAGCAGCTCATCCAATGCCTCCCTCTAGGAAAATGACACTGCTAAAACGATTTCCAGGCCTGATGAAGGTATGAGGAAGGAAAGAACAAACAAACAGGACAAACAAGCAAAGAGAAAATAAAATTAAAAGTTGTAATAACAGCAATAAATGCTAAATTGGAGTATGACAATGTAGGAAAGGGAAGGTGGTCAATATGTCCTCCAGCAGACTAATACTATAGCAGCATAACTACAGAGATAGCTCAGGATAACCTAAGCTATTTCAACCATAGGCTTTTTTGTGAAAAAGGAAAGGTTTAAGCATAGTCTTAAAAGTAGAAATGTTGTCTGCCTCAGGAACCTGATAACTTAGAGATGATCCTCCCACTCTGCTTTTAGGAACAACAGGAACCTAGAATTCCATACTCTAGGAAGTAAACCTGCAGTGTGAGAGTGCAAACTGTTCTGTTAGGAACATTTAGAACATGGTTATAGACAAACTGAACAGTAACATGTTGATTAGGAAACCAATGGAACTGAATTTGCTCAAAACATCTTTTCAAATTCAATTTGTAAAAAATAAAATAAAGAAAATGTGAATCTTCTTTCTTTACGGACATGTGTTACCTTGTGTGAAATAAAACTCTGGTAAAAAATACAATAAACGTTTCAGGTCAAAAAGATCAATACCTATCAAGTTAAATCAGCCATCTGTCTGTCCATCTGATTTTGGGAAGGTTGGCACCTATCCCCAGAAGTCTATGGCCTGAAGGTAGGATACTTTGTGGAGAAGTTGCCATTCCATTGCAGGTAATGTACAGAAAAGCTTGAGCACACAAACTCTACCTACAGGTTTTTTTTTTTTTTTTTTTTTTTGGAGTGCATGGACTCTCCTAAAGCCCTGCCTGAGCTATCCTCTGTGGTGTGCATTGTTACAAACGCAGCTTACTTACAGCTGAGAGTAAGTGGTTAGCTAAACTCATCATGTTGCTTTTTTGGGGGAGACACACCAGGCATGACACTGTTACAGAACAGGACTAGATACATCTTTCAGTTGCTCCATCCTAGGTGCACAATTGAGCATTGTTACAGATTCTTCCTTCCAGTTGCTTTCAGGCTTTAAAATCACTACTGCATCTAAAAAACTCAATACGTGTGTGTTGTTTCTTGCACATTTTAACTTATGTAGATAGTCTGTTGTTTTTAATGAAATACACACGCACAATTTGTGCATTTTTAAATCACCTTTCTCAGTTTCAAATTATTTTAATCTGATTAAGCTATTTCTGATAATTCAACACTATTGTTTTCTTATTTTGTGAATCCCCCCCCTCAGTGTTATTGCTTTTTTATATGTTTTTATCTTTGTGTTCTGCTTAACTCGTTCATTTGGAAATGCTGCTACATCTAGTTTTTAAAACTAGATTACTTGTTTTTAAAAATGAGTGCTGTTCAATGTAATCATTTCACTTGGAAAAGAAACACATGTTCAAATAAATAATTCAAGCCCAAAATTATGGTAACTTTTGTCTCTGGTAGTGATTTTAAATAGGCCCTTTATTCGCGTAGATCAAATGTGTAGTTACGCAAGAGGATTAGGGCCACTGGGGAAAAAAAAAAAGGTTAACAGATTTTTTTATATTTCAGTTTAATATGGGGAAAAAAGTCAGAATTCTGACTTTAATCTCAGAATTCTGACCTTTTTCTGAGTATTCTGACTTTTTTTGTCACAATTTTG